TGAGAGATACGTCAAAATAATCTGAAGCAAAAATGAAGGGAATTAAATGATCTTTCCAACGGCAGCTTCGATTTTACGATCGGACTTTATTTACGCCTTATATAGAGAGTAGAAACTGCAAATAGGTCCGATTTAGACCACTCTCCCCTATATTACATAAATTTATTTATTCGTAATCTATATCAATTTAGAATGTTTTTACAAAAAATAAGAAACTATAGGCGAGTTCAAGCTGGCAAAGCGGCTAGGTCTGCTTATCGAGCGATTGAACATGATTGGTTGGCTCCATAGGTAAGAACTAATCATGTTCAGTCGCTCGGTGAACAGGCTAGCTGCTTTACAAACTTGAACGCGCTCTATTGTTTCGAAAACAATGAGCATTTAGAAAATCGGGATCCTCAAAAAATCTGAGCCCCTCAAAAAATCCGGGCCCGGGGAAATCACCCCGTCATCCCCCCCTCTCGTCAGGCCTGGGGGAAAGTCGCCTATATCGTATCCTTTAACGTTTAAATAAAATTGTAACAAAAAGTACTGAAGAGATCAGAATATTTCTGTACTTATATTAAACTTTGGTTCATTGGAAATAAAACAAAACGATATTTTTACGAAAATAAATATTAAATTATTGTTTAAATTAGATTTAAAAAAAAGTAACTTTCGGTACGATTTGGAGATCGGCAGGGCTATTCTATAACTCTTAACTTTTTATCATGGTAAAAAAGCTGCGCAACGACGTTATAACGATAACGAAACTTGCGTTAAGAGTTACAGAATAGAGACCCTGGTCGTTAAATTGTACCACTGGATTCCTAAATCGTACTTCCAATCTAGCAAACAAGCTGACATTGTTTATTGTCATTTTGACATCAAAATAACATCTTTAAAGTCAAAATGACGGCAAATAACGTCAGTTTGTTTACTGGGAAAATAAACAAAAATTAATTTTAAAACTCATTTATTAATAAATTTATTTTTAATTCTGGGGATTATAGAATAGACCCCCGTTATGGAATATCACCAAAAAATATTACAAAAGGCATTTTTATTTGTAGAAATTATTTTGATTTTGCTTTTCGTTATTCACAAATATTGAAAATCTATAGTACATGTAACATGAACTACAGATTTTCAGTGCTCGTAGTGGATAACGGAATGCAACCAGTGCATTAGAATCTGCATTCACAGGCTGCATTCTGTTATTCACTGCGTTCTATGGCTACGTTTACACCGTGCATTTAGGCCGCGGCCTATACAATAGATGTCCTTGTTTATCCTGTATATTAAACAAAGATACCTATTGTATAGGTCGCGGACTAAACGCACGGTGTAAACGTATCCTATAATTTGGAATTAAGTGTGGATAAATGTTAAGAAATTGAGTATTCGTAAACCTATAATACTGTTGAAAGCCAGTAAAAATTAGTATATTAAAAAATCTTGTTCTTTGCGGAGTCCTTATTAGTCTTCAGAGTTATAGGTCTTTTAATAATTATTCGCGTCCGATGCTAATACCTAATAAACATCTATCAATCTATCAATGCGTACGAGCAGCAAGGAGATTATGGAAGTTTGCATCGCTTGCGAAAATCGTACCAGTACAATATAAAGACCAGCGACAAGTACGATTTACCCAATTCCCTCTATTTTTACAAATTTGCCAGTAGCAACATAACGTACAAATATTTTGCTAATTTGATGCTATACTCGAAAAGAGTTTAAATATCAATTATAACCCCGTAGTACACTATAATTCAGTTATACCCATCTTGTACTGATAACATTTTAGGTAAATTGTATAAAAATTTAGATCACACACCGAACAAAATCAATTTTGAATGTTACTCGTAAACAGACGACTCGAAGACAAAACAAAAGTGACAGTTCTTAAATCATGTTACTGGCGTTACATAAGTGTTATCATCTTTAAAAAAAAATGTTTCATTTAAAAAATACAATGGAGATACGATTTAACCGTCGGTACGACTTAGCCAACTCTCCCCTAATGGTGAGTGAACAGGAGTCTTAAGGTAATTTAATAACAAGTCCAAATTTAAAGCGTCAGTTTCTCAAGTCTTTAAATTTTTTATTCTGCTAGAATTTTTAGTTTCGTGATATCTAATTCTCCTTTGTTGAAATCTTAAGGCGAGAGGATTTTAAGACACCCTGTATGACGAAGGTGATGAACGAGAGAACGGCGGAGTTTACTGTCGCGTCGACGACCGGGATGAGTGAGAGAGAGAGAGAGAGAGAGAGAGAGAGAGAGAGAGGGGGGGGAGGTGAGAAGGATGGAGGGAAAGGGTGGAGTCAAGAATTTAGTTTGGTGAAACGGAAGACCTGGCCGTAATGAGTTTCCTATTAGATTTGGTTGCCCGGGTTGCCAGGCAACAACCTGGGTCGCCGGAACTTACAATCCCCGTGGCGTTCGCGGCCAAGTTCTCACCACCGCTTCTTCATGCTCTTCTACTTTTTCTGTGGCTTCTTACCCGCCGATGAGCGAACGTCGCACGTCAAACGTCACAAAGTAACAAATTCTGTTTAATGGCGCCTTGGCGTAATGCGTGGGATCGTGGTAGTTTGCATCTTGAACAGGCGAGTGTTTTGAACTAATTGACCGGTTTCAAGGACTGGTTTCACCAACATCGACTTCGGTTGGTCAACCCCTTCGGAATCATAGTCTCTAGTCTGAACGTTACGGATAGAGCAGGAAAATTGAGTAAACACACTTAGCGTTAAGTGACGTTGGTGTAACCGGCCCTAAATAGCTAATGAGCTACGGTCGACTGGCTCGTTTCAAACCTTAACTGCTGCGAGGTAATGTTTCACACCATTAAGCGAACAGCTAACATATGTGATTTATCTGAGTTCCGAACAGTTTGCAAAAGTTATATCTGACTCAGCAATCGAGATTAATTATCGAGGTTTAACGCAGAAGGGAAGGAATGCATGTAGAAACTAAGAAATGTGAAACGCACATAAGAAATTTAAGAGATTGGCGATCCACAGTGGAGACAAAGAATTTGGATCTAAATTACGTATCGATCCGTAAATTAAAGTAATAGTTTTTAAAGAACTTATAAAGGGAGGATAGTGTACACGTAGATTTTGCCTAACTTCAAATATACGAGTATTTCAGTATTCTCAATTTTAATGAGTGATTTTGTTGTTTTGATTTATCTTTATTTTTATTTTTATTATGCTTAATATACAAATGTTTAATATATGATTCTTACCTTTATATGTTTTATTCTATTGATCCAAACAATTATATATATTTTGTAATTTTCACTGCTAACGAAAACTGTATAATACGGTTGAAATGTTTGGTATTGTTAGAATTGGTCCAAATGTATACAGACACATTAAAATTCTATTTTTTTAACAACTTGTATCAACATTATTCGTTATTGGCCATTAACCTCTCCTGATTACTTTTATCTTCCACTAATTTATAGCCGAGTGGTATGATGCAATATTCAAGTATTCGCGAGAAATTTACATTGAAAGTTTCTCGTGCACCTTCTGCACTGAGTACGCGCCTTCTGCACTGGTTGGTAGAGAACAAGCGTTGTGCAGCGCGGAATTTTTTTATTTATTATATGACCTCTCTTGCTTCATTTGATTATTTGGTTCATTTAACGTTAGTCGAGCAGAAGCTACAGTTTTTTTCGATACGCAAGGCGCACGAGAAACTTTTATTTTGCAAATTCCTCGCGAATACTTGAATATTGAGTGGTACTTGCTTATGAATTAATTGGAGTTAAGTACTAAAACATATTTAAAGTCGGGCGAAATTCGTGTGTACACTATTGTCTTTCTCTTGTTAGAAATTGGAAATTTTATAAGACGAATCGATATAAAAAAAAGACTCGAAGAAAACTAATGCTTAGATGAGAGTTTAATAATTAATCGATCCCGGAAGCTGGAATTCATTATTCGGAAGTTCAAGAAAATAAGAATCTGTTTTAAGAATTCAAAATGAACACGCCTACAACTTAGGAGTTGAATTTCCAATTCCAAGCGTCTATTTATATCCAAGGATAGACAAAGATACAGTTTCTCGACACAATTCTTGAGCATCTAAGATTTCCAGGTGCAAAAAAGCAGGAGATTTGGCTCTCCTGAAAATCCAGGATTCCAGGACTGGAGGGATCTAAGTAGGTATCACCGAATTGGGATCGAAGGCATCTGTCATGACTTACCTAGAATACCGAGTCTATAGTTGATGGTGACGACGACGACGCCCCCGTAACTTGCCAGGACGCTGCCATCGTAAGGATTTCCACTGCTCCATTCGTAGCTCTCGCCATGCACGAACACAATCACAGGATACCTTCTGCCGCCACCGTCCCTCGCGCCAGCTGTAATCAATAAAATTATCCTGTGATCGATCGACAGTCTCGACACCTGATAGTTCACGTCTCGCGGCCTTAAAAGGTCATTTTTCAGTCTTTTAAGACTTTCCACGAAGTTTTGACAGTTGGGTAAAGAATTACCATGTCCTGAAGAAATGCAAACTTTACGTATCAGCAATCGAATGGTCATATCCTTTAAGTCGTAAATTATCGCGTAATTTACAAATAGACACACCTGGTGATAAAGATAGAATATATTTGAGAAATTTAAATGCACAGGAAAGAATTATGATTCCGTTCGAGTTCCATCGACGAATAAATACATGCACAACAAATCAATAAATAATATTGATCGACAAAATTTAATATTATGTTAAATTAATATATGATAGGGCATTTCCTATCGTATTTTTTGCCCTGATGTGTTTCAAATTTGTTTGCCAAATTTATGAGGAGAGCTGAGTTTATGAATATAACATGTATTTAAAAATTCCTTATCTCTTCTACTTAGACATAAATAAATGATTCATAGGAAATAGCTACTGAATTTAATATGATTTTCTATTCATATTATAAAAGACTTCAAACCAAAATAAATCATTTTAATTAAGAAAAAGATTATACGACAAACTGTGTTGTTAGTAAAATATACAAGTTTTTAAAAAGAGAGAGATATTGATTACAAAAAAAAAGTTAAAGCTTGTAGAATAAATTCTAACTCATTTTTAAAATCAACATCAAAAGATACATAAGAATTAGTCAAAATTACTCATTTAATAAAATCATTGTCAAATAGTATAACTGCTGTGAATTGATCGATACACATAACACGAGTAAAAGTAATAAAATATTCCATTTAAAAACAAATAAATGTTTAATAATAAATAAAAATCAGTGTAGGTTTATAATTTAATCTATAATATCATTTTAAAGATATACATGTTAAGTATGTAATACGCGAATTATTTCGATGCTCATTCGAGTTCTACACCTAATGGACAAGCTGTGCGTGTTGGGCGACGTGTCACCTATCGCTTTTGATGTAATTAAAACAGGCGGCACAACGACGGCGGTGACTCGTACACACGAAAGGGGTGCGTCAATCTGATTTGCCATGGTAATGCCGGAAGGGTGAACACGCGAGGGTGATCGCTGCGGCCAGACCGAGCACCGGTCATAATTCAACAAATCACGCGTCATCATCCTCGCGATAACGGCCCGCATCACGATCACCCTGTTGCCTTCTACATCCCTTCCTAATCCCTCGTGAAATGCAATGATTCCATGACAAGTCTCATCGATTAGTTTATAATCAGTATATCTGATATTTTTAATAACACTGCAATAATTTTTATTTTCAGATTTAGCTTAATTATTAAAAAAATATATTTAGATTAATTTGTGTGTGTGTGTTTCCTTTTTCATTTTAATGGTAGCCGTGATTTAAAATTTATATATAATCTCAGAGTTGGCTTTATACAGTCTTCTGATTTGAAATATTAAACTGCAAAAAATATTAAATTAAGGCTCGAAAAAATTTAATTTAATTTAATTTAATTTTTTCCCTTTAAGGTTTATTTTCTAGAATTCTTCAGAAGCAATTTAAATTAATAACGTAAACTTTCTCGCAAGATATTACCCAAGAGACGAGATTTTGATATTCATTTGCACTCTTGATAAAGTTAATTTGCGAAACGAATCTTGCAAGAATGAACGTGTTGCGGAAAATGGACAGCATCAATGTGATTAGGGGAGTAAACGGCCGCTTGATTGACCGTCCAGAACGATGATGATTCGGTAGGCAAATCAATTAATGGACCACAACTACGTCAGCTAATTATTATTTTCATTATCGTCCTTGTAGCTTCCTCACGTGCTTCCTAATTGCGCTTCCGCCGATTGCTCGAAATACACGTCCCCAGATATATGTTATCCCATGTTAAAACCCATTTTATACGGCTGGGAATTCACAGGAGAATTCTGTTACTAATTGTCTACATGTAACATCTGAAGTGCTGAAACCAACTAATTTCTTGCAATTCTTTTTGAATTTCTTAAAACTCCTGTTCATTTATCACTACTACCTCAGTTTGTGATGTCAGAAGCGAAAAATATATAATAAAAATTGCAAAACATATTGATATGGAAATATATTTTAATAAAACAACATTTACAATCGACAGAACCACATATTAAATATACTGAAAATTCTCCTTTTGTGTCGTTAACTGATAAATAACCATATATCTCGAAATGAATTATTCATAATAAAAAACAAAATGAACCATGTTTACAGTTATAACACATTGTCGAAATAATAATATAGAAATAAATACGTTTCAATTTTTTCCAAAACAAGAAGATAGTTTTTGTGTATGTTTTATAAGTTTATTCTATCGATTGTAAATGTTGTTTTATTGAAAAATATTTCTCTTCAAATAGTTTGTAAGAATTTTTATCGTGTGTTTTCTGGATTGTATGACATCACAATCAGAGATAGTAGTGAATGAATAGGAGTTTTAAGTTTACAATATCTTTTTTCTTCTTTCATATAAAGCAAATTAATGCAAAATAAAGAATAAAGTTTTCCTTGATATTTTTAAACATTATCAACACAACTTTATACAATAGTTAAATATTATACATATTAAGTTTTGTATATAAAATTATAATTTACAAATCTTCAAGAGTTCTTATAATGCCCGTTTTCACTGATGTAGATTAACTTTAATTTTGGATGAACTTACTTTTTATCTTTTAATAATTCTTAGAACTAACAAAAGATAAAGAGTAAGTTGAATTGAGATTAAAGTTAATCTACATTGGTGAAAATGGGCATAAAAGTAGAAAAGTTTAATAATATCCGGAGCATTAAGGTTTGGAGAGCAACAAATACGAGAATTCAAAATTTACGACATTTGAGAATAAAAATTGGAATCCGAGATAAGAAGATCTAACAATACGAAAGGGAGAATACGTGGTTTATCTGCAAACGCCAATTTTCGATATCAAATCCGTGAATCCGGAATTCGGAGTATTGAAGGATTTCGCAATCGCAGCTCTGCATTTCTCGTAAACAAAGAATAAGAATCTCATTTTCCCGTTGTGGAAGGGAAAATCGGGATTTCAACTTATCCGGCCTCGTGGCGGCCGCGATACATTATTTCAGCCGTGAATAAATTTACAAGCGCCCTGTCAATATTTGATGCGATCCACAAACAATTTGCTGGGGCGCCTCTAACGGACTTTACATATTCATAAAGCGGTGCTCCGTAGTTTGATATCGTGGATGGTAAACGAGAACTACCTACGTTCCCGTTAGATCGCTTTATTTTGCAAACTCGATATTGCGCATCCGCCTTCTTAGGAACGCTTCCTTTAATCCTTTCGGACCCCTGGCGAATGCCGCTAACAGATAAAACCTTGTACATTTACGCAGGAATCGAAATTGTATCTTTTCTAATATTTTCTAACTCGACTTTGTCATCAAGATTTAATTTTAATTCTTGTTGTCATTCTCGTAGTATTTGAAAATACAAGAGTATCAAAAGAGAAAACTGATTAAATAAAAATATGGCTTTAATTTTTTTCATTTAATCAGATTAAATAAACATCGAAATTTCGTTAAATTTAGATTTTCACTACCACAATATTTGATATCCTAAATTGAACGGATTTAAAAAATAAAATTTTCATTAAATTCCAATAAGTTATTTCTATGCAATGGTATAAATATACGAATATTAAATGCTCGTTTACCATGATAATTAAAAGAATATTCGTTTTTTTAAATTTCTTTTTTTCTAATTTAATCTCTAATCTTATTTTTTACTCTCCGACTATATTTCGTTCTTTTGAAATACAAATATTACATGTAGACAGAGAAAAAAGAGACGAAGAAAATACAAATATATATATATATATATAGAGAGAGAGAGAGAGAAAGAGAAAGAGAGAGAGAAAATTGAAAAGGGTTAACGTTGGGATAAACCTGCACAATGATGCGCAGCAAGGTCGGGTGCAACTGAGGTGCAGCGCACTTTATCGCATCGTCCTGCGAGTTACAGTGACACAGGCAGGATTACGGTGTACAGATAAGGATGACGACGGTGCGGTTATCACGGCTGCATTCATTGCTTGTATTCACAGTAGAATCGCCGCGGTAAAAGCTTACATACAGTCCAAGAACGACGTGCACGCTGGATACGCTCGTCTTATTAGAGACGTCCTCATGACTGCTCTATGTGGCCACTCAGGACAACGACGTTTATCGTCCCCGTAAATATCTTATCATTCCCATTCCCCCGAATTTCTTTGCAATATAATTGTTTGCTTTAGGTAAAGAGAACCTGACAACTTGTAAAGATAGAAAAGTTAGTAATTCGAGAAATAAAATAAGCTGAAATTGAAAGATTAAGATATAATAAAAACGTAATTTAAAATAAAATTGAATAAGATTCGAAAAATGCCAAATATATATATATATATGTGTGTGTATAAAGGACAATAAGAACATTTTAGAGTGAAAATATATGAATGAAAATTAAATAATTTCAGAAATTAAGGATGTGAGCAAATGAATGAGAATTAAATTGAAAATAAACTGATTTTAACAGTAAAAAAATAAGGTACAAAAAGATTCAACAATGAATATTAATTTTAAATATTCAAGTTATAATAAAAAGTTGAATAATTTTACAACTTAATACAGTAGAAAGCGTTTTTATTTGTGTTAGAAACAATCCATTTAAGTCCTCATTATTTTGCATTAAATTTTTAATATAACCGAGTGTTAATTCAACATAAATTGTCATTTGAATATTTTGGATTAAATTGATATTTAACATGTCTTATGTTAAAATACACAATTTATGAGTAAGGGAACAAATAACATAAAAATAATGGTTTTAAAACGTAACTTAAAACATATGATAAATGAATAAAATGTGTTAACGTATCAAAAATGTTAAATTTATTCGAACATGTTAATTTAACATATTTTAAATATTAATTTTAATGCTGAAATATGATTGCTTAAAAATTGTGTCACGTTCTTTGTATTAATTTTTTACATTTGTGTTACGTTCTAACATATTTAACTTGTGTTAATTAACACAAAAATTTGAGTGGGCCGTTTAAAACATATA